TTAATACTTTTTTTTTTTTTTTGGCCAGTGGTGGGACTTGAACCCTGGGCACTGTACCTGAACTTTATTGGTCATTGGGCCACAGCTCCACTTCCAATTTTTGGGTGGTTAATTGGACATAAGAATCTCACAGACAAATCTGGCCCTCGTTGGTTTCGAATCATGATCCTCAGATCTCAACCCCCTGAGTAGCTAGGATCACAGGCATGAGCCACCAGTGCCCAGCTCTCAGCACTTTAAAACTTTTTCTTTTCATTTTGCTTATGTGGTGCTGGGGAATTGAACCCAGGGCCTCATGCATGCAAGGCAAGCGCTCTACCACTGAGCCACCTTCCCAGCCCACTCTCTCAGCACTTTAAATTGATGTTTCTCTACAGAATTGGCTAGATACGCTGCACCTTTTGGCAGGAATGCTTCTTGGGGAAGTGTGTGCTTCATGTTGTTTCCCTTGGAGCTCAAAGTCTCACCATATCTCTTGATTAGTGTGTTCAAGAAGAGAGTCTGATATTTCCATTATGTAGTTCCCCATCCGTCTTTCACCTAATAGTTTCACTTATCATTGTTCTTATGAATATTTCATTAGCAGTCACAAAGTGGTCATTTTTGCACATTTATTAACTGGAATTCTCCATTAAAAAGATCACTCTCTGTCAACCAAAACTATTTGGTTACATTGGAGTATAGGACAGGAAGAATAGGGTAAATGTTATTCTTTCCCTTTTTTTCTAATCATATTCAATGAATTAAGCTCTTTGTTTTGTTTTTCATTTTTCTAAGAGACACTTTCATTTTCCATTTGAAAAGCAAAAGTAATTTGTGAGTTTTATATTTTAAATACATCTCAGTCAGTTACATGTATGTATTCTCTTTTATCTCATCTTTGTCCCAGAGAATTCTTCATGTGGACTTTGGTATTTTCTTGACATGACCTACTTCTTGATAGTATGTTGCTTCTCCTTTCCATTTGCAAGAGAAAAGAAAAATGACAGGCTGTATCAGTATTAGCTAGCACCTATTTCCCAAGCTGCTCTTCTTCACTTTTTCATTTCAACTCACCAGAAATGGAAACTACCTTCCCTCTTTTTTAGTTTCTTTTGTAGCAAAAGGGCAAAGACAAAAGCAGAAAGACACCCAATCACAGTATCACAGTGCAGAAAGAGTCCATACTGTTTACCATCTTTCTTAGGCTTTCCTTAATATCACAAAAGAGTTTATTAGTATCTCAGAGGTCTGTGTAATATCATAACAAAGCATTTTATGCAATTTGTCCTTTGAAGTAAGCATGGAAAATGCTATAATTCTGTCTCAAACCCAGTCAGCTAGGTACATATAATAAGGTAGTTTATAATAGAACTCACAAGTCTGTTATCTTGTTACATTTGATTTAATGACTAATTCTGGAAAGTATTTCTCCATCTTCTAACGTTATAACAGGTGTTATGCTGTCTCAGGCAGCATGTTCTCATTCAAAGGAAAGAAAGATTGTCAGTCTAGGTGGCCAATGCCAACTGTGGCAGTGACTCTAAATAGCATGGTATATGAAATTTAGAACATAGTATATTAAACTTCCTTTGAACTCCATCCACTTTGGGGTAAATATGAGCTGTCCAAGGTAGACCTTCATAGTTAGCAGTAAAGAAGTCTGGCATCACATCTATCTATACTCCTTTACATGATCATATTTTATGCCCAGATATATTTTTATTTGAAATGGACAACTTCCTTTTACTCTTCCAAGCCTAAATAGGGAGTGAATCTTTCCCTTTGTCTTCATCTAATGAATCTCCTATGATTCTTAAACTATATTGCTCATTTTTATGTTGATTTAATTTTCATGTTTATTTTAATGTTTTATTCACAGCGATCTTTATTTGCTTTATGTGTGTGTGTGTGTGTGTGTATTTCTCTTGTTATTCATTAAATTATGAGAAGAGTCTGAGATGATGTGATTCTTTGTGTGGCTCAAGTGACACAATGTTAGCTTTTGTGTGGAAAAAGCCAAGTGAGAGTACAAGGTCCTGAATTCAAGACCCAATACATCATCATCATCATCATCATCACCATGGTCTTAAAAATGAAATATTTCGGGATTGAACCTATAGTAGAGTACAGGACTTGTCATTGTATAAGTAGGTACTGAGTTCTAGGTTCATTCTTTACCATCTGACTGATAGTAAGCAAGTCATTTAGCATCTTCATGCTTCAGGTCTTTTGTTGTGATTTCTAATTTGTGATGTGAAAGAGATCAGATCTAATTCAGACTCCTGATGTTGACCTAGGCTAATTTTTATAAACTACTTAGTATACTGTTTACTATTGAATGGTTTATAAAACTAGCCCATGGGCTGGGAATGTGGATTAATGGCAGAGTGCTTGCCTGACATGCATGAATCCCTGAGTTTGATTCCTCAGTACCACATAAACAGAAAAAGCCAGAAGTGGCACTGTGGCTCAGGTGGTAGAGTGTTAGCCTTGAGCAAAAGGAGCTCAGGAACAGTGCCCATGACCTGAGTTCAAGCCCCAGGAGTGGCATTTAAAAAAAAAAGCCTCGCCCTGTAGTTCTCAAATTTTTAGATAATAAATTCTTTAAGCTCATAAAAGTTATCAAGGCCCCATTGAATTTTTATATAGATATGTGTGCTAGAAATTTAAACTAGTTGACTTTGTAAATAATTATTAATAATAGGTGCCTGTGGCTCACGCCTGTAATCCTACCTACTCAGGAGACTGAGATCTGAGGATCATGATTCAAAGCCAGCCCCGGTTGAGACTCTTATCTCCAACTGACCATCACAAAGAAAAAGAGCCAGAAGTGGAGCTGTGTCTCAAGTGGTAGAGCACTAGCCTTGAGAAAAAATATCTAGAGGGGCTGGGAAGGTGGCTCAGTGGTAGAGCGCTGCCTTGCATGCCTGAGGCCCTGGGTTTGATTCCTCAGCACCACATAAGCAAAAAGAAAAAAAGCTGGAAGTGGCGCTGTAGCTCAAGTGGTAGAGCACTAGCCTTGAGCTGAAGAGCTGAAGGAAGCGCGCAGGCCCAGAGTTCAGGCCCCACAACTGGACCCAAAAAAAAAAAAAAATCTAGAGAAAATGTTTAGGCCCTTAATTCAAGCCCCAGGACCGATAGCAAAAAATTTAATAATAAACAATTCACTATATATTAACATAAATAATGTATTTTATGGAAACAGTTACTTTAAAAAAGAGTTAGTAGAATACCCATCTGCTTCTGCATTCTGTAATCTTGTAGTATCACATATCACAGAGGTTCTGGAAAATTCCACTTTATATATAAGAAAGAGTAAGAGTGGGGAAAAAAATAAATAATATTCTCTAGCTACTCAGGAGGCTGAGATCTGAGGATCACGGTTCAAAGCCATCCTGGGCAGGAAAGTCCGTGAGACTCTTATCTCCAATAAACCACTCAGAAAACCAGAAGTGGCGCTGTGGCTCAAGTGCTGGAGCACTAGCCTTGAGTTGAAGATCTGAGGGACAGCATTCAGGCTCAGAGTTCAAGCCCCACGACCAACAACAACAAGAAAAAATTCTAATAATAGTTTAAAAATGGTTGTGACTTCAGGGGCCCCTGAAAAGGTCGTGGGGACCCTGGATCACTTGAGAATTGTTGCACATAGTAAATTAAAATTGTTGCTATTAGTATACATGAAAATTTTGTACTACACAAATATTAGTAATGAAAAGTATAGGTCACTGTCTAAAAACACTGAAGATTCAGTGTTGCTTTGCTGTTTGGAGAGCCTTGACCAGAACTTTTTTTTTTTTTTTACTTTTGAATTCTTTTGAATCAAGAATATTTAAAGAGACATTTTGAAAACCAAGTGATATAATAACACAAGGCTTGAGGTATGACTTGAGGTATGACCTATCTAGCAAGGTGTAACCCTGATTTCAAACTCCAGTACACTTAAAAAAAAAAGTATGGTATGTTGGGCAGGAGGTGTAATTCAAGTGGTAGAGGCCAGACATGGGCATGAAACCAAAATGAGAACTTGAGGCACTAAGTTCAAGCCCTAGGATTAGCACACACACACACACACACACACACACACACACACACGAAACAAAAAATATAAGCTATTTTAAGAATGCATTTTATAAATACATACCTTAAATTATAGCCAGAAGCCAAGCATCAGTGGCTCATGCCTATAATCCTAGCTACTTAGGAGGCTGAGATCTGAGGGCCATGGTTCAAAGCCAGCCTAGGCTTTGAAAGTTCATAAGAATCTTACCTCTAATAAACTAGACAGAAAAAGTCAGAAGTAATATTGTGGTTCAAGTAGTAGACCTCTAGCATTGAGCACAAAGAGGCTCAGAGATAGTGCCCAGGCCTGAGTTCAAGCCCCAGGACCAGAAAAAAAAATATATATAGCTAGATAGGTAGATGTAGTTCATGTGTACTATACACGTACTTTGAAAACATTTAACCAATAATTTTTGTCAATTTTCTCCTTTATTCCTTTTTTTTTTTTTTTTTGGTCGGTCGTGAGGCTCAAACTCTGGGCCTGGGCACCATCCCAGCACTCTTCAGCTCAAGGCGAGCTCTCTACCACTTGAGCCACAGTGCTGCTTTCGTTTTTTTCTAATTGTTTATTGGAGATAAGAGTCTCACAGACTTTTCTACCCAGGCTGGCTTTGAACTGTGATCTTCAGAGCTCGGCCTCCTGAGTAGCTAGAATTATAGGCGTGAGCCACCAGTGCCTAGCTTTATTCCTTTCTTTTTTTAAAGCTTTCCATTTTTTAAAATTTATTCTTCAAATTGTTCTTCTATAGATGTACCAAGGGGTTTCAATTCAGCATGTAAATTTATGAGGACAAAGCATTTCAATCAGTATCACCCCTTCCTTCATTCTTTCTTCCTATTTATCTCCTACCAGCCCCTATTTATCTCTTACCAGCCCCTCAAATTACCTAGTTCCATTTTCACATATGTCCGTGGGTAATTATGACTGTATTCTTCCACCATTCCTCTTGTCCATGTAGACCATGGGGAATTCATATGCTGGGCAACTGAAATCTGCTCGATTTGAAGAAGCACTCCACAACTCCATAGAAGCCTCTCTCCGATGTAGTAGTGTGGTGCCACGGCCAATTTTTTCCCAGCTCTATTTGGACCCTGACCAGCATCCTTTCCCATCTGCAGGTAAGATTCTCAATCACACATATATCTAGACTCTTAAAAAAAAAAGTGGTAATTCTGAGTTTCAGGAGCTCTGAAATAAGTTAGGTTACTAATCTCCTTTCTGCAAATACATTATTCAGCACTGTGCTGGGTTTTTTCTGGTTATTTTTCCAAAAGTATAATTTTTATTTTTATTTGTTGGGTCCGGGCGTGGGGCCTGAACTCTGGGCCTGGTTGCTGTCCTCAGCTCTTCAGCTCAAGGCTAGCGCTGTACCACTTGAGCCACAGTGCCAACCAAAAGTAAAATTTTTAAATTAAATTCTTTATCATTTCTTTGCTTACCCAGATGTCAAACCCAAAGTAGAGGATCTGGATAAAGATTTGGTACACCGCTACACTCAAAATGGCAGTCTGGATTTTTCGAACAATCTAACAGTTAATGACATGGAAGACGATGAAGATGATGAAGAAATGTCTGATTCAAACAGTCCTCCAATTCCCTATTCACAAAAACCTGCCCCAGAAGGATCTTGCACTACAGATGGTGGGTTTCACCTTTGTTTTCTTCTTTGCTATTTTCCCTCCCATACTGTGTCTGGCCTGTACTAAGTAAGCATTCTATGTGGTGCTGGAGGCTGGAAGTTAGTACTTATGGAAAGGAATGTATGGTTATGTTCTTCACAGCATGATCTACAAGAGAGATAATTATTGTCATTCATACTATAGAGACTGAGGTTCACAACTCAAGGGATGAATCCTTTATTCAGAGGGTCTGAGCAAAGAGATGTCTAGATACTGGTAGGAGATTTTTTCAGTACACAATGTACTTTCTGCAAGAATGCTATTCTTGGGCTTAGGGCTATGGCTCAGTGGAAGATATTTGCTTAGCATGCTTGAAGTTCTGGATTTCATTCCTAGCACTGCAGTAAAAATAAAATGTTACTTAAGAACTTCTTAAGTGTTCTCTCTTGTTCTTTTTTCCATCTCTCTCCCTAAACAATAATAGAGATTATAAATGTAAATTTTTATCTATACAGGACAAAAAGGTAAATAGTTTGAAAGTCTCATTTTTCTCAACCTTGACTTCCAAGATTTTAGCCATACTTGTAATAAGACAATGTTGTTTTCTAACATTTTTAGCATTTTATGGTTTTGATTCACAGCAAATCCTGTGTTCTCCCTGCCACTCAGTTTTTTTTTAATTTAATTTAATTTTATTTGTGAACATACTGTACAGAGGGGTTACAATTGCATGGGCAGGATAATGCGTACATTTCTTACCAAGCATTGCAGCCTCCTCCTTTGTTTACCCTTCCCATCCCTTCCCAGCCTCCCCCCTCCCCCCCATCCCAATCCTTCTCCTTCCCCCCTCCCCCCCCACTCCCTTCCCCCCCCCCACCGACGTTGTAAAGCTCGTTTTGGACATGACAACTTGTACTTCTCATTGTTGCATCAGATCCACCTGTATCCTTAAACAACTGGTTTTTCCCCATCTCCTCCACAAGTTATACTGACATCAAATATAGTGAAAGCAGGGGTTATACTGTGGGGGAGGGACATACAAAGCAACAAAGAGATAATCTTATAAATGCGTTAGAAACACATGTATGAAAGAAAAAACATAAAAATACATATCTAAGGGTTCATTTTCCTGACATCACATTATCTGACCTTTTCCGCTTGACTCGTACATATACTAGATATTGCAAATAAGGGAAACCATGGGACCTATGTTTCTTTGGGCCTGGCTTACTTCACTTAATATAATTTTTTCCAAGTTTTTCCATTTCCTAACAAATGGCTGCCACTCAGTTTTTTAAAAAAATGTTTGTCCTTAAGTAGTTGTACAAAAGAGTTGCCATTCAACAAAGGAGTCTATGAAAAACCGTCAGCATAATTACTACATAGGTTTTACTTTATCCAGAGTAGCCTGAGTGCACTTAAGTTACCTAGATTGGCATAGTTCAGGGATGATGCCAATGCATGTAAATCTTGTAGAGAAATAGGGAGGAGGAAGGAACAAAAATCTCAGGACACTCTCCTTCCAAAGCCTAAAGTACAAGTAATTTGGAATAAACTAGATATTTACATATAAAAAGAAAGAATTTACATTGCTGTAGAGTTTCATATTCTATTGACTTCTTTTTTCCCCCTGAGGAATATGAAGACAAAATCTGCAAAACCTAAATAGTTCTGTGCCTTGTTTTCTTCAGTAGATACTATTGCTGCTCTTTCAATAAGGCTGGCCTCCATTTTGCTTCCAACTTAAGATTGCTTCATTTTTTGCCTACACTAAATTATTGGTATAATAATAGCCTTTAAGCCTGGAAATGTGGGGGAGGTGCTCATATTATTTTTCGACTACTTGCTTTATAGCCATTGTTATGCTTTCTATTTAATTGAGTATTCAGCACCTACCTGTATGTAACTAATAAGTACAAGTTGAAAACAGTGCTTTAAAATATTGTTGGATTCTCATTGAAAGCTTATTAGATTGCAAGAATTAAATAGAGTTGGAATAAAAAACAGGATAATTTTGAAATAATCAAAATGGAGGAGAGTTTTCACTACTTCTCTGTGCCCTAAGCATGCTTTTAGTTTGCTTGTTAGGTATCCTGTGCTGTTGTTATTTACAACTAGGTATGGAAAGGTGTTTAGTGCCCATCAAAATATAAAATCTGTGACCTAAAAATAGCAAGCAGTTCTCAAACTTTAAAACATGAGAACATGTGAAATATTTGAGAAGATAGTAATTATTTTAATGATAAAGAAAATATTCTGTTTCTAAGAACAAAGAACTGATCACCCAAGTAAGAGATTGAAATTTCAAGACAATCTAAAAACACTAGTTAAGTCCTTTGCTTAGATTCCTATGTCAACTACTTGGCATTTTTATTATTACTGTCTTACTCAGTTTTCTCTTTTAAATCATCCAGAGGATGATATTTGAAATAAAAAGTAGCTTATAAACTGGAAGTTTATAGTTTGCGTAGTTCTTTCAAGTTGGTTAGTTCTATGTTCTAGGAATGTCTTGGTAGCAGCAAAAGGGAGAACAGCTCTAAAGTTTTTCTTTCAAAAAGTGGCATTGAAGTAGGGCAATGATTGACTGAACTTCTTGAGGCAAACCACCTTTCCTTCCTGGGAAATCCTCTGTTTACCTAAGGCTTAAAGAAAGGTAAAGCTTTTTTTAGTGGCAATTTAGATAAGCAGATACTTAACACCTGTAGGGGTTACCATTCTGATGTTAATTTTGGTTGTTAATTTCTTATGTAAATTATTGCAATGGCCTGGGTCCCTATCCTGCTGGGAAGCTGTTGATTGTCTGAAGCGGGTGAAGGGTAACTAAGTTTTAGGCATCTAAATACTGATTTAATTACTTTAGTTTGTGTTTACAGCTGTTTCAGTAAACTTTTCCCTCCCTCTTTTGTTTACTCAGTTACCTTCAAGTTGGAGATAATTGGAGAATGCAAATCTGTCTCTGTGAAGTGAAAACCTTGGCTATTTTCTTAGAAAATGCAGATGAAGTTTATAATGAAGAGCCCTCTTTAACCCCATTCCCTTACACTTTTTAATTAAAACCATTTGCTATGCAGGAGTCTTGGTTAGAACAACATTTCAGTATTACTGCCAGAAAGTGAAATTATTTGGAAAAATGTTTGAAAATGAATTATCAGCATACACATCAAAACAGTTTTATCTTTCCCTGTAAGGAACAGTCCTAGATTCTTCCCGAGCATGATCTTCTAGTAGTTTCTAAAGAATTATCACCTCAGCTTTTCACAATTATTTTAGATATAATTTTAGAATTGCCCTGTAGAGTAGTAACAAAGGTTTTCTTTTTAGTTTAGTTTTAGGTCTTAATAATTTGATGTCTTTATAATAGTGAGAATATAGAATTACTAATGTGATATTGAAATATTACGTTTAATGGGTCCTGGACCTACCAACTCTTCTTTACATACATATCTTATTTTCAGTTTTAAAAAAGATAAATACTAGCTGGGTGCTGGTGTCTCATACCTGTAATCCTAGCTACTCAGGGGGCTGAGATCTGAGGATCACAGTTCAAAGCCAGCCTGGGCAGGAAAAGCTGTGAAATGCTTATCTCCAATAGACCACTAGAAAACTGGAAGTGGCTCTGTGGTTCAAGTGGTAGAGCGCTAACCTTGAGCTGAAGAACTGAGGGACAGCTCCATGACTGACCAAAAAAAAAAGATAAATATTGCTCTTAGCACAATGCTTTTCTTTCTTGGGGATCTCTGATTATATGTGTCAATGGCTGAGCTGAGTTGTGACAATGAGAGCTTTGGGGAAATTCAGTAAATAGATGCCTACAATAAAATACCAAACCTGTGGCAAATAAATCTTGGAATGACCACAAATTTAAAAAACTTTTCCTGGATTTGTAACCATTTTTTGTCCTTGAATTGATTTCTTCCTGACCTGCTCTTAAATACAGCCTTTGCCTTCTCTTCTCTCCTACACTCTTTCTTCTTAATTAAGAAGTGTTGTTTACGTTGGCAAGTAACTAGGAGGAAAGAAGATAAAATAGGACTGTTTTATTTATATAGCTGACTTCATGCTTTCAAGAAAAGTTTTAAATTTATGGAAAAATTGAGAAAAGTAGTAGTTTCCATATATCCCATAGTTCCTCCTATTAATATCTTAGTATAGTAGATATATTAAATTAAGGAACTACTCTTGATAAATTTAATTAAGTTTATAATAATTTATAATCATCAATTTTATAATTTTAAGTCTGTGGTTTCTTTGGATAGTTTTTTTTTGGTCGGTCATGGGGGCTGAACTCTGCTCTTCAGCTCAAGACCAGCACCCTACCACTTGAGCCACAGTGCCACTTCCAGGTTTTTCCTGCTTATGTGGTACTGAGGAATTGAACCCAGGGCCTCATGCATGTGAGGCAAGCACTCTACCACTGAGCCAACTTCTAAGCCTCTTTGGATAGTTTTTGCCTAATGTCTTCCTTCTGCCTAAAGATTCCCTAGAATACTAAGTAGATTTAATTGTTATGCTTCCTTAGGTACCTCTTAGCTGGGACATTTCCTAGATGTGTATTATCATGCTAGCAGTTTTTGGGCTACTAGTCAGGTGTATAGTCAAAGACCCCCACTGGAATGTGGTATGTTTCTCCTGGTTAAACTGAGACTGGGTTTGGAGGTAAAGTGCCATTTTCATCACCTTAGAACATCAATGGATCTTGGGACTGTGAGTGTTGACCTTAGTCACCTGAACTGATGTTCTCCTCTCTTTTCCTCCCCAACTCTGCTATGGAAGGAAGAATGCCCAGCCCACATTGTTAGAGCTCAGACTTAAGCTCTATAATCTGAGGGTCTTGTCTGAAATTTTACCTCCTGGGAATTCACCTCTTCTTTCCATATTTACTAATTTATTTAATTGTTTATTTATGTCATTATGGAATCATGGATACTTATTTTATATTGGGATTGTAATCCAATACTACTTCATTTTCTTACTCCAAGGCTTACAGTTTCATATATTCAGATTCTTTCTGTTGATTCTTGT